TCGGGGTCCAGATTAACTTTTCATACAAGCATGAACCGTGTATGTAGTGTATATGTCTGAATCATTGACTTGGAACAATGTCAACTGCAGTTACTGTTGGATAATGGAGTAAATCATATCCTCAGGACGCACCACGATCCATTCTTGAAGGATAATTGGAAGTTTTCCCAAGTGCATGCACGTCTAATCAAGTTTGTGGAGTAAGGACTAAGAAGAAAACTGTCTTACGTTCACAATCTCGTGCATTATAACATCATCAGCGTGTTTTGCGTATTAAACCAAAATATGATAATGAATAAATAACTTTTAATAATGGTTCTAATTCCTGAATCGTGAATCGTGATTAGTTTCAATCTTTGTAGGACTACACGTAAGCAGCTAAATAAGGGCTTTTCGTGTAAACAAAGTGGCATTGAAAAATCCTATAATAGTTCATCGGAGGTTCGACCCAGAGGGGAAACCATCCTTTCTTGAGTTACTGAGATAGGATCGTGTTCGATTTGGGGCGAGTTGAGCCAGGGCTGGTTCGCTTGAGTTGAGCCAGGGCTGGTTCGCTCCAAGACGTGCAGTTTGGTTCGAAAGCTGCTCGCCCACCTTTTTTTCTTGTTTCAGTACGCAATGTAGTTGAAAATTTGTGAACAATAAGCTTGAAAAAAATCAATTTTGTTTGAAATCAATTGTAGTTCAATTTTTTTTTTTTATTAAGCTTTGCAAGGAATTAGTTAACATTCTCACCAGGGTTCATAAATTCACTGTAATTCATTAGAAATATTGTAGAAGATAGAGGGAAAAATGCGATAACCAAGAGAGTAGAAGTGAAAGTTCGATGACATAATAACAAACAAAGGAACAATTGCAAAATTAATTGCATAGAGTTGTATATCAAATATTGTAGAGAATTCAATACTTCGAAAAAATTATTTTCGAAATATCCCTAATCCCGGTGAGCGGCTCGCACTGCAAAATGGTGGCTCTGCTGGCCCCACGACTCAGCTCCAGGACAAGTTGAACTGAGCTGCGAGCGACTTGCCCCATTTTTCTCAACTACAGTGAAGCATTTCCTTCCCTTTGTTCCTCTCTGACATCTAAGAAACTATAAAAATGATGAAAGAAGCCCCACATAATCTATATTGTTTCACAGCATGCACTTTTATCAGTGTGACATTGATTCAATCAGCTACGTGTTCGACGCACGAAGAACGACCTTTAGTAACATATAAGCGTGTTGCTCACATGCTGATGTTAAAATTTAAAAAAAAAAAAATTTAATCCTATATGGGTCTGATTAAGATGATTCTTGGCATGAACAACATCATAAGGATTTTTATTTTTTAAATCATGAGAGAAGTTTACATGAGAAAATGTTATTCATCCTCACTAAGGTTGAGCACCAGTCTAAGTGGTAATTATACGATGATAGACTCAATTAAATGAGTCATGTGACTTTGTATTTAAATAAATATATTATTTAATGTCATGTAATTACCACATAGACTAATGTTCAACCCAGTGAGGATGAATGAGTTCTCTCCTTTTCATTTCATTTCATTGGAGCGTTGAGATCATAGTTATAAAATCCGGCCCTGACGGTCGGGCCGGAAACTCGGAGGCGGCCTGGACCCTTGACCAGGCCGGGCAGAATAATTTTATAAAAATGTACTTGACTTGATCAAAATCGGGTTTTGATTGAGTTAACCGACCCCTAAAAAAAATTTATACTATTATATTTTTTTTTTTTGTAAGTTTTTATGCAATGACCCGTTGGTTGAACCACTAATACATTGACCCGTTGTATTGTCATGATCTATGTCCTGATTGAGTCTGACAACTATGGTTGAGATAGGATACTACTAGAGCTGATTTTTGAATGTCAATTTGACAGAAGACTTGCTTGGCGTACAATCAATATGCGTACCAAATTTATGCCAACATAGTATTCCATAATTATTGCATATGTTTGCACTACACGTTAATCACACGATAAGTACAAATATTCACATCATAAATCTTGCTTCCATTCGAGGGAAATTTATTTATTTTATTATGTATGAAAAAATTTGGATTCAAAAATCACTTTTCGATGGTAGAAATTAACATGATAATAAGCCTATGTTTGGCACTCATTCTCTATCTCATTCTCTTTCTTATTTTGTTCTCTTACTTCATCTCAACCACAGATTTTTCCAATAAAATAATATTACACACAAATTTAAAATTTTTTATAACTTTTTCACCAGACATTCTTCAATCAATCACTATTCTAGAATTTATTTATTCTCTAAAATGGGTGTCAAACAAGTGCTTTATATCTAACATGATAACACAATACTTTATCATTAGTCATAGTTCCAAGCATCCTAGCCCCCTTAAGCATACAATTTGCTGAATTTGTCGGGGAGAGAAGCAAATGATGATACAATTAATGGAAATATATTCTTTCCTTGTCTTATCACCATATGAAGCATCGGGTTAGTATGGAATATTTTACTTAGGCAAGAAGCAACTGCAACTTGTATAGCAACATGTGCATGCTTTAATAGCTCATCCTAGATCAATATCATTATTAATGGAGAGAGATGTGATCATGGAAACAATAGGTGATTAGTCCACTTGTGGGAGTGAATTTTCAATTTGTTCATATAGGCACGAGGTCATTAAGAGACAACGAATGTCGAAGAAACTGTATTCTAGTTTCATTAATTTTTCTCCTAACATTTTATAGGCACGCCACTACATCTTGGGAACTAACATAGGCCCGTTTGGCATAGCCTTTGCTTTTGCCTTCTGTAGAAGAACTTTTGGAAGAACCTGAAATCTATTTTTTAAAAGCACTTCCTATTGTGGAGGTGCTTTTGGAGGAAGCCATATTATACCAGCTTCCTTTACAAGTTCTTCTAACTACTAGAAACACTTTCATAAAATTAGCCAAACGGATCCAAATGCNTTGAAATCATTTTCCCTATAAAACATTTTTTAGACAAATCTTTTCCCTGTAAAATATTTTCTTTCCACCTACTTTACACCCTTACCATCAAACACACCCTAATTAATTTGTGAAATGGATAAAGTAGAAAAAGAATTTAACCCTTCAACCCACAAAATCATCTTTATTACACTGTTGAACATGTCAAGATTTCAAAATAAATAAATAAATAAATAAATAAAATTAATTAATTAAAAAAAAAAACAATGATGTGAATTGATTGGATCATTGGCCATGCCAAAAAAAATTGAGGCAGCCACTTTTGGCCTATAGACTTTTAATTAATTAATTGCAAACCTTTGTATAGCACTGCTTGTCTCGTAATGATGTTCAGACCATTAACATGGCTTGCCCTTCAATACGCATGACAATAATTTGCAATTATTTATGTTTCTAGGATTATCTTTTCATAATTGAAAATCAACTTAATTAATTAATTAATTAATAAGTTAATAGAATCTTTATTAAGACTCTTCGATATTCAAAATCAATTCACCCTATCGTAATTAACCTACTCTAGTTATACATTAATACAAGAGAAGAGATACATGAGATAAAATTTATTAGTTTTCATGTTCGATTTTATCCGCTTCACCTGCTAAACGAGTCAAAGTATAATTAAATATGTTGACCCTAAAAAAATTTGCCGACCTCAAAAAATGCGCAAACAGAATCCCTTCCACCTCTCATCCACATAGATATTACTTGCACATTGGAACACCCCATTATGAGGCAAAGGTCACCGGTTGAGAAAAAGGTCTGGTGACCGTTTATACTCCAAAGGTCAGATCAACGGCCTGACGAGAAAAAAAAGAGTGCAAGAGAGGGAGGGGGAATTTGGATAAGGTTACAAACGATACCTTAATTATGAAATAAATCACACATATATAGGAAATGTAAATGAGCATGTGGGCGTAATGGGTCGGACCCAAGCTTAGACCTAAAAATATCCGACTTATTAGGTTATAGTTTAATACCAGCATTATTTTATTTACATTTTTTTCTTTTCGTTTATAAATCAAATATAGTTGTCGCCAGTGTATGTATATAACCTTGGATTCCTCGTCCTATGCCATGCACCATGTTCCTTAATTATTTAGAGTCAATAATTCTTTTTGTTTTTTTATTTATTTCTTTTGGAATTTTTTGGCTTTATAAAGTGGATCCCACCCATTGATTTTAAGCAATCGAATAAAGATTTCAAGTTGAAAACAAAAAAATATACATCACCGTCAACAAATTAAAATAAATAAATATGATATAAAAGGAAGAAAGAAAGAAAGAATAAAGATAAGATTTTGGCTGATTTTGTACTAATTCATGCTTAATTATTTACACATTTATTTCTTAATTTTATCATCTAATTTCCTAGCAAATGAGAATTAGGGGTGTGTTCAATAGAGATTAAAATCGGATTAAAATTGAAAAACTAACTGTTATGGTTGATTTTTATTAGACGAGTGAGACCCAATAACGGCTATATTTTCAATTTTAATTTGATTTTGAGTTATAATATATTCATTTATCGTCCAAATACTTATTTATTTTCACATAAATAAATAAAAAAAATCCTAAGCTCCCATTTGGAACACATTTTCAGTTCATTTGAAAAAAAAATATGTCCGTTAGCTATTAAATTTGGGTCTCACAAGTGTGATGAAGGTAAAAAAAAAAGTGGCGGCTTTTCATTTTCAACGACTATATTTTTCAATTTTTTCGAATTAAAAATGTGCCCCAAACAGGGGCTAAATGTTATCCGGATCGAGAATTATTCAATAGGAAGGGGACGGTGTATTTTGTCCATCCCGTATTAATCATATCTATATCACTATATGTTTATTAGTGTGGGTGAAGGAACTTTGCTTTTCTTTTCCCGCGCTTTAGATCTCACTTTACTCCCATCAATTCCTCCATAGTCCTTCTCTTCTTCTAAGATATAACCAATTCTTTTGTCACCGAAAGAATTTTGATTTCATGCTCTGATCAACCAAATTGCTGAGTTGAAATGGATTCTACCATGCCATGTCCAGCTTCATCAAAAAGCAAAATTGCCAAGACATTTCAGAAAGTAATTCACTTAAAATCAGCGAAGAAAAATCTCTCAAACCCTGGATTTTGCCTCTTCATTCCTCAAGAAAAACTCAAATGCTGTGAATCCCAACAGTTCGAGAAAGAAAATCTCGAAGAAGAAGCAAAAGAATCGAAGAACCGAGCCACGGTTGAAGCCTTCGTTGCCAAGCTTTTTGCCACCGTTTCTGCAGTTAAAGCAGCTTATGCTGAGCTACAAATGGCTCAGTTTCCGTACAACAATGAGGCTGTACAATCTGCAGATCAAGCTGTGGTTGATGAATTAAAAGCACTTTCAGAGCTCAAGCACAGATTCTTGAAGAAACAGATCGATTCTTCTCCGCCCCATGTGACATTAATGCTAGCAGAAATTCAAGAACAGCAGTCTCTAATGAAGACTTATGAGATCACCATGAAAAAAATGCAGGGGGAGATAGAAAGAAAAGATTCCCAAATTTCTTTACTACAAGATCAGTTGCAGGGAATCGTTCAGAACAATAAGTCCCTCGAGATAAAACTCAATGCAAGTGGATCTTTTTCCATTCTTGACCATATCAAGTTCTCTGATTCAAATCCTATAGTCTTTATCATGGTTTTTCACTATGCATTGAGATCCATACGCAATTTCGTCAAGTTGTTGATTAGGAATATGGTCTCTGCAAATTGGGATATTGATGCTGCAGCAAATGCAATACAGTCAGAAATCACTTTCAGCAAGAGGGATCATAAAGGTTTCGCCTTTGAATCATTTGTTTGCAGAGAAATTTTCAGTGGCTTCAATGAACCATTTTTTTCTATACAAAATGATCGTCAGTCGTTGCCTAATGACGCAGATCAGCGTCAAATTTTCTTCTTTGAACAGTTCAAGAAAGTGAGATCAGTGAGTGTAATTCAGTTTCTTGAGCAGAATCCAAATTCTTTGTTTGGGAAATTCTTGAAAGCAAAGTACCTTCATTTACTACATCCCAAAATGGAATTTTCATTTGCAGGGAATTTGAATCAAAGGAAAATGGTTAATTCCGGTGAGTTCCCAGAAACTGAATTCTTCAAGGCCTTTGCAGAGATGGGAAGGAGAGTTTGGCTTTTACATTGTTTGGCATTCTCACTTGATCAAGAAGTGAGCATATTTCAAGTGAAAAGAAGTTCCAGATTTTCCGAAGTGTACATGGAAAGTATAACGGACGACATTTTCGTGGCAGCCGAGCGTGATTTTTGGGTGGCATTCACGGTGGTTCCGGGATTCAAGGTTGGCCAGACGGTGGTGCAAAGCCAGGTATACTTATCTCCAAACAAAACTCCACCCAGAAGTTAGTGTCAGTAGTTCTTTACAGAATTTGACACAACTCCTGGATGCAGTACTAAGATTGCGAAACAACATTGTTAAAACGGATATATTATTACCCAGTTACATTGTCGTATAAAAGGTGGTAAACTGGTGGAAGTGACGGCAGCGCGTGGAAACCACATTATCTTCTTGTATTATATACAAAAGCATATACATATACATATACGAGTCTCCTGCTATGTTTAATGAGTTGAGATCCAGTGTCTCGAATGCATATGTTCCTCGACTATCGTCCAATACATTATTGATACCTAGGCAAGTCACTTCTTCTTAAAAATTCCAAGGTACAATGTGCGGAGCTTATCTTGAATGACTTTTCTTCTGTTAAGAAAATGTGAGACAGGGATGTTGAAAATCTATTGAACGACACACTTTTTGATAGAATCAGCAAGTTGGTTAGTCCAATAATAATGCAGTTGTCGTATTCAATACGACACAAGTGCAAGAACGGCAGTACCATTAAGAAGCATTTGGACCCACAACGACAGGGATTGAGGCAGGGCATGAACTGGATTTTCAAACAGAGAAGGCCGAAGTGGGGAGATAAAGCAAAATTGAGCATTGTGGGACCATTTTTCCTTTGTCGTTCAAAGAGATGAGAATTGAGGACCCATTTTGGAGAAAATTATATTCGATGAATTCTGGAACTCTCCGAATTTGTTTTGTCAAAGTCATCCCAAGAGGGAAATACAGATCAAGCCTGCACGTTGTATGAAATCCTTATTTAATATGTATATATAATTATAGTGATGTAGATCGTCTTTTCTACAACTTCTCCAGTGTAAATGAACTTTTTGTCTGGTTATTTTATTCAACCCCCACTTATTACCTCAAAATCTGTCCAATTGAGTGGTCAATAGAAATCTCAGCCACCTCCATGTCCACTAGGAATCCTCTGCATGTCGAAAAACGTCGTTAGTGCAAATGTCACCAGCTCAAAAAAGTATGACGATCGTTTGCTCTCTAACAATCAAGTCTCCTGAACAAGATAGAATGAGTGCAAGAGAGAACGGTGAAGATTTGACTATTATTTAGAGTACACACTTCACATATAGAAAGTGAAATATGTCAAGAAGGGCTTAGTTGATCGAACTCAAGCCTGAGAAGAGACCATCTTGTTTTATCGGCCCAATCCAATTGACATCATCGTGACCCATGCAACTAATGTGAAATCCCTTCCGCAATGTGTAAAATTCAAAATCTGAATCCAAGACGACACCCAAAAGCTTAGTTTGGAGAGTTGAGTCATTAACATGTCTATTTCTTTCGACTCAGCAACCCTCTAAAGAATATATTACAAATGATGACTCCCTTTATTGCCTCTCTTAAGTTCCGTTGTCGAACGTATGATGACTCTCGTTTCATAGTCCATACCCTTGTGAAGCTAGCTAATGCTAATTTAGGCACCTCCGGGTCCATGTTGAGTTGAACCTTCATATAACAATCTTAGCATCTACTAACTTCCATTGCTCCGATCTCTTCTTATATCCTCGTGCCTAAAGAATGAGCTTCAACTTCTTGCTTTGGTCGTCTACATCTGCAGCACAAGCTGACATGATCATGACTGACTTTAATAGCTCCTGAACTCAATAACCAGAGTCTTGTCAGGAGTTTGAGGGTCAAACTCAAGCCAAGTTAGATTGCATGTTGCAGTTCTACCAAACAACTTCTCATCGTAAAAAGAAATAGTTTAGTAGCAACATGTGAAATTTTAAACCTCGTGTGGAAATGCTAATACAGATATCAGCGTGGAGAAGAGTAGAAAAAAAAGGTTTGCTTCTATAAATATTTACAATTACTACTATAATTATCCAACAAATTGGTGCAGCAAAAGGTAGAAAAGTCTTTTAACCTCCAAAAAATGGGAAAAAAACAAAAAAGAAATAAAGAGAATCGAACAGGTAAATATACTCTGTACAATAGACTAATGAAATAACCTTCAGGAGCACTCTAACCTTCACATTGCAGCCATAAATTGCAGCTTCAAACTTCATAAAAATGGCGAACCCAATGAAAGTAGGAATCCCGATCGAAAACCAAAAAGAACACCAATGTTGCGAATCCAGCAATTCCAGCTAAACGTCCACTTACCGAAGGAAAAAGTAGAGTTGACTTGAAGCCACTTGCCACAAGTTTCCACCATCCGTTGCACTAAATTCTAACTTCCTCTAGTCCAAAGAGCTCGTCACACAGAAAGCTGTACAATATCGTTCCCATTGTCTTCCCACTTCAAACTCAAAATGAATGGATCTTGATGAGACCTGAAGTGGATGGAGAAAAAGACATCATCCCTGAATCAATCCTAACTGGGGATTCCTGAAGCATCTTCTGCAGGTGAAGGGTCGGAGGCTTCAGCAAGAAATTGAAGCATGTTTATGACCTCTGTTGTGTCGTCCACATAGTACTTTGCTTTACTCGGCTTCTGCCCAACAGTGCAGGCAAAAACTGAAGTATTGAAAGAAAGGACACCACTGTCTATTGCATCTCCGATCTTTTCAAACATATCCTCATCGGATCGATCGTCACCAATGCAAAGCACAAAATCGGCCTGCCGCCCATTTTCAGCCATCGATGTAAAGATCTTCTCTGCAACCAGACCTTTACTAACGCCCTGAAATAGTTGAGACGAATTAGTTGAAGATCCGTTGACCTTAAATCACAAAAAGAACTGCAAATTTTAAGACTTAAGACTGCTAAATCGGTGACATCAATAAATCTTTTTAGGTGAAAAGAACGCTACATTTTGGTCCTTATTAATTATTACTCTTGAGAGAGGTGACATCCCCTGCTTTTAATGAACCTGTAATATTTGGACAACAATTGATAGAAAAAATAAATAAATAAAATTATAGCTTAATGAAGAGGAATAGAAACAAGTCAAGGACAAGAACAATTCATTCTATTACACTAAAATGGTAGCTCAAAACTGTCAAGGAGAGTGATTGAGCCCTCAATTGAGAAAACAATCTGGGTAGAAATTTGCATATGAAGATATAGGACAATGCAATATGGTCGGTAAAAAATTACACCAGGTTGACAATTTCTGTTGTTGTAAATGTGGTTTTTCAAATAACTCCTATTCAAAAAGATAAAAACTATAGAAAGAAACCCTTTCGATTTAACACTGCAAGTATCATTAGAACCTTAAAAGAATATAATAAAATTTCCTACATAATCAAATTTTGTTAGTTTTAGAGAGATGACACGTTAGATATAATCCTGGATATGTCAACCTCATGTGTCTTCTTCCACATTAACATACACATGATAGGTGTCAAAGTCATTCCATTGCTCTAATGGACACAATCCCTACTGTGGTTCATTACAAGATACTTCCTCTCAAAAGTGAAATAGTCATCTGATGAGAGCATTTCAGGCCAATTACCATCACGCACCATCAAGATAACATTATCACATCATTTTCAAAGCTAATGCAATAAGACCAACAACTATGCACAAATGGAAAAGGTACGATGAATAACACATTGGTAAATTTGTTCCTGGAAGGTATCAATTTTTGAGGCAATTCCCAGCGACTGGAAGCCACTTTTGCAGGAAACTCCAATATTTCCCTGCTTTATTTATGCCAATTTTAAAATAGAGCATGCATCGAAAGTATTACATAAAGAGACCGCAAAATTACACTTCTAATAATGCAGCTCAATTTTGTTATTCAATCATCAGCAATATCCTTTCCCATTCCGTTCTAGCGAGATAATTCAAAAGGCAGACACACGAAGCAACAAAAGAGGCGGTTCTAATTTATATACCAATGGTAAATGACAAGGACAACTTTAATATTTTGCTTGAAGCATGCCCAGTTAAACTATATTCCAGAAAACCCAAAAGTCACTATTCACATGTTTTTATCTGCAATGTATCATTGTAAAGAAAGATGATATCTATAGCAGTCTCTTACAAGAAAGCATCAAGAAAATTGATGTATTAAAAGATGACATACCTGGGGTTTCACTTCAACAATGAATTGACCACTTTTAGCAGTAACAGGTTCATTAGCTAGCACGCTTTCAAGGTGGTCTAACATTTCCTTTGCTTGACTAGATCCAAAACCAGGATCCGCATCTTGATGATGCCAAACAAGTGCACTCTCTTTTACTTCAATATAGGAACCATCAGTAGCTTCTGTATATAATTTCATTACAGGCTCGGCCATGTGCATCCATCCAAAATCAGTGCTCTGCCCACAAGTTTCCCATTCCTCATCCGCATTCCGCCTAAAATCTTAGGTAATTAGCCAATAGTAACATGGAAAAAATAGCAGACAAGCAGAAAGTTACACTTAAAAATGTAATAGAAAACACGCAGAACACAAAAAAACATTCAAGTATGGAGAAGAAGGTGCACCTTATAAAGTATCCATGTTCAGCAGCAATACCCAGTTTCTTGCATGGAGAAAACCACTTGCCTAAACTATCCTTTCCTCGTCCACTGACAACAAACACTGTGTTTTTGACATCATCACAAAGTCTGTTGATAATTGAGATCACGTCCTGGCTAGGATTCTTATTGATGGATGTTTGGGGCATGACGGTACCATCATAATCTAAAAGTATTGCCCGATTTTTGGCTTTTGAATAAGCAGAGACGATGGCATCAATGGACAGCTTTCTGAAATTAGGATCAAGAGCAACAACCCTAAAACCAAAACTCAAACCAATTCCCCAGCAGCGTCGCCTAAAATGGTCTTTGCAAGTTCTCTCTAAATCCTGGAAGAAGCTTCTTGACCAATATGCTACATCATGTATACTGACATACTTGTAGTGCTTCTCATGTCGCAACTGCTTCTCAGTATCAGCCATTGAAATTGCCTCATTCAATGCTTCTGCAGTTGTTTCAATGTTCCACGGGTTGACTCGGATGGCCCCACTAAGTGAAGGGGAGCAGCCAATAAACTCAGATACCACAAGCATGCTCTTCTTTGGAGCATTTGAATCTGATATAGATTCATTTCCAGGGATTCCCTGCCTGCTCACGATGTATTCATACGGAGTAAGGTTCATTCCATCCCTTACAGCTGTAACCACAACACATTCAGCAATAGTGTAATATGCTGCTCGTTCACTAAGCGACACTGGTCTGTTGATAAAAACAATAGGTTCATAACCAGGCTGCCTAAAAGTCTCGTTGATCCTTTTGCAGCTTGCTTCTATTTCTGCTTGTATTTCTTCAAGGTCCTTTCCCTTTCCTCGGGCTGGATTTGCAATCTGTACTAACACTGCCCTTCCTTGCCACTTTGGATGCTGCTTTAACATTTGTTCCATTGCCAAAAGTTTTAAATCCACACCTTTGAATATATCCGTGTCATCAACTCCTAGTAACACTGTTTTTCCTTCAAACTGTTGCTGCAGCTCTCCAACTATCCAGTCTTTATCAGCATGCTTAAGCACAGATTCAATCTGCCCCATGTGAATTCCAACAGGCATGATTTTTATTCCAACTGTCCTCCCAAAGTATTCTACCCCAATATATCCCCTCTTTGACTGATACTCTAAACCCAGAATACGGCTACAACAAGAGAGGAAATGCCTTGCATAATCAAAGGTGTGGAAACCAATTAGGTCAGAATTCAGTAATGCCTTTAGAATCTCTTCTCTCACTGGTAGAGTCCTGTATATCTCCGATGAAGGAAAAGGACTGTGAAGGAAAAATCCCATTCTTAACCGGTTGAAGCGCCTCCTCAAGAAGGTAGGCAAAACCATTAAATGATAATCGTGAATCCATACATAATCGTCATCTGGATTTATTACTTCAATCACCTTCTGTGAGAAAATCTTATTTGCAGCAACATATGCTTCCCACCATGACCGCTCATATCGACCTCCATGGCTTGCTGAGTATGGAAGCATATAATGGAATAGTGGCCACAAATGCTGCTTGCAGAACCCATGATAATACTTGGACAGAATGTCTGGTGGGAGAAAAGCCGGAACACACTTAAACCTGTCCAACAGTAACTGGGCAACATCGTCTTGTTCGCTTGAATCAACCTCAACCCTCAACGACCCCACATAAATAACCTCCATATCGTCTGGAAAACCATCTTTAATGTGCAACAACAATGAATCCTCATCCCAGCTAAAACTCCACCCTTTATTATCGGGCCTACGCTTAGCCTTCACCGGAAGCTGATTTGCAACTATAATTACTCGATCTGCAACAACAGACGATGGAGCCTCCGATGAAACACTATTAGCTTGATCATCATCAAGCTCGGAAATGACCCCTGGAACAGTCATTACACGAGGAAGCCTCCTTTCGCGCCCCATCGCTGGGAAATTCCCAGATGCTAGATCCAATAAATTGGTATACGACCTAGACATCATCTTTACAAGATTTATTCAAGCAGAACTCCCCAACAAAACCTACAAATCATAAAACAAACAACCAGTCACAATATAGCTCTTCTCAGATTAAAATCAAAGCAGACTCAATCCCCGAGATCGATTCCAATTATTCTCCTTAATTTCCGAAATGTCCCAACATTAAGAGAGATCTAAAATGTTGTTGCATCTCAAAAAAATGAAAAAAAAAATCAAAATCATTACATCGATTAACAGTTCAAAAAACATATCAAAAACATTATATCAATATAATAGAACAGAAACCCACATATTGAATGCAGTAAAAGAATTCAATCGTTCGCAAAAAACTTGCATCAACCCTATATTTCAAAACTACACTTGCATGTAGTATTTAACCAGATTGGACCCAAGAAACCAACTTTTTATAAAATTTAACATGGAAAAAAAAACACTAACCTCTGTATACAAGGATTGAATTCTTGTATATCTTTTCTTAGGATCTGATGATCAAAATCCAAAAACTCTGCTTTCGGTCAGAGAGAAATCTAGGGTTCAGCCTCTCTCTCTTTCTCTCTCAATTCTTTCTCTTTCAAATGCTTTTGGTTGGACAAGAACACAAATTTAACCGGAAAAATTTAAAGAAGAGAAAATTAAAAAAATACAATAGGATAAGGTCGGTCAGCAGAAACGTAGTGGCGCCAGCTGGAATCCTTGTGTTTATCTGTCACGCGCTATTTACAGAATCAACGACGTGTCTTCTTCACTCGTTATCTGCGTTTCTTCTCTCTAGCCGTCCGATCAGATAACCGTGGACCCCAGTCAAAGTCCACACAATTCTTTTGTAATTTTTCCACGTGCCGATTATTCCCATTGGTTAGTTCTCCTGTGCGCGAAACAGCATATTATAACAGGAATATAAACTTGGTAGGGCCATCCACATTTTGGAGAAGCTGACCCGACGTCATTCGTGACATCATCTGTCGACGTGGCTGGAGGCGGAATGCGTTTATCCGGAGTTTGGTGGAGCGTTGGGCGAATTTAAGTAACGTCTAGTTGAATTGAACCAACTAGACCGAATATGAAATGTCACCTTTGACCTTTAGCTTTTTGTGATAGGGACAGTAGTCGGTAGAGGATTCTAGAGGGGATTTTAGTGCAAGAAGGGGAAAAAGATTGAGGGGGGTATAATTGGAATTTAAATATTTTAAATGTGTAACGGAATGGGATAAGATTGGAATTTGGATGCATTCAAAGGTCAAACAAAGGGAATTGTGCACGTCGAGACAAATACTTCGTTTGCCGAACATCCCTCTAATTTGGCAAAATTAACATTTACTACTACCTTCCATAGTTGGCATCCCGATTCTGATTTTTTTAAAAAAAATTTATTAGATTTTAATGAAATTATAAAATTGTAATTGAAAAGTTGATAAAAATTATAAATTTAATATAATATGTAGTTAAAATTGAAGTTTTGTTTCGCGCAAGTTATTGCTAACAAGTAAAAAAGATTCAGACGATTGTGTAAGAAACAGACCTCTTGAAACAAAGTTCCAAAAATGGATGTTTTATTGATGACGATTTACATTGAAAATAAACAGAATTCCTTCAAGGGGCGCAAACACACGAGTATTAAAAGAAGTGTTTAAATTTAAACTAAAAAATGAAAATTACATTTTCTCTGTTTGTGAGTGTTTGATTCGAGATTCTTTCTTTATGTCTTCTCTTTCTTTTTATACTTCCTTGATAATTTCTTCATGACAAACCGTTTTGAAACTGCTTAATTGCTCTATAACTACCAACTTTTTTCATGATGGCTGACTTCCTAACTAGGTCTTGTCCATTGGGCTACTCGATTTGGGCTACACTTTTTGTATGTCAACAAGTTTTACCATATTAGAAGTTATGAAATTTTAACAAAGTTTTATCAAACAATCACTAAGCAATAAATATGAAGAAAGCTATGTAGGATTATTGGAGTTCAGCACTAGTTTAGGCGATAGGTTGAGAGTACTGTTTTGATTAGTTGAAAAATTAGCAGGTAAGATTTATTGTCACATAATATTACCGAAAAGTTTTGGAGTACAATGAATGTCGAGATAATGCATTAAAATTCTATTTGAAAAGATATTAGGAACTTCGACTCTATTTTACATATAACATATCAAGATTAGTCTGACGTATGCTATGTAGGATTATTGGAGTTTAGTACCAATTTAGGTTGCAGTTGACTCCACTATTTTCATTCACCAAATAATGAATCGATGAAATCCACTATTACGTAATATTATCGTATAAATTTTGGTTTGGAGAATACTACGTAGGATTACTCAAATCTAGTACAAAATTAGGTTGCAATCCACTGAGGTTGAATTTTGTGTTAAATATAGCATGATAAGTTTAAAGAATTCTATGTAGGATTACAAGAGCTTTAGCACCCATCTAAGTGGTGGTTGACCTTGCTATTTTGATTAATCGAACAATAAATCGGTAAAGTCTACTAACAGCTAACATTATCGAATAAATTTTTGAGCTTAGCATTAGTCTAAGTAACGGTTGGACCACTATTTGATTCATCGAACAATAAATTAGTAGGATCCATTCTCACCTCACATTGTAGGATAAATTTTTGAGTGCACTAAATATAGAGATAATGCGTTGAAATTTTATTTATATAGTGAAAGATATTAGGTTCTCCAGTTCAATTTTATTTATTAAAGATATAACGTTATGTTTGAAGAATGGTATGTAGGATTACGAGAACTTAGCACCAGTCTAAATAACAAATGATCCCACCTTTTTGATTTTATCGAACAATAAATCAATAAGGTTTATTATCACCTAATCTTATCAAATACGTTTTGGATTGCATTGAATATTGGAATAATGCGTTGAAATTTTATACGATTTTTATTACTTTTATATAGTGAAAGATATTAGGCACTCTGATTCAATTTTACGTATTAATTATATCATGACAAGTCCAAAGAATTCTAGGTAAGATTACAAGAGCTTAGCGTCAGTCTAAGTGGTGGTTGAACCCACTATTATTTTGATTCATCGAACAATAAATCGGCAGAGTCACATGTCCCTATTTTATAGCAATTCTCGAAAAGACTTTGTATGATAGTAGAATTCACTATCGCGTAACGGATAAGTTTTGGATGTGTTAAAAATTGATTTTTATTATTACTTCAAAGTAAAAAGGTAAATATCAAGTCTGTACATATTGGTACGTACAATATTGTGATTTTTTATTGCAATAAAGGATGGGCTATAATGCATACGATACAGTTGTCTAAAAAGGCTGCTGTTGGCTTGTGCACATTCAACGGCATATTCCACCAACGACCATTTATTAAAATCCAATTTGGTTTGGTGGACCATTACTCTACTTTTTACTCAAATAAACACATTTCGCCAACTTTCTTTGAACGGAAAGCTTCTTTTTAATTAATAATTCCAGCAAACTTTGCTTTTGAATTGAATATCTTTTTTTTTTTCCTTCAAATTTTAGTCTAACTTCAAAGATCCACATTGGAGTCTCGTTTCACATTGAACATTTAAGTATTTAAATATTGATAACTTATCCATTTAGATGAATTGGTGCTAGACATTCTTAAAAGAAGGAAAGAGTTAATCAAAATCATATTTTTCTTAGAAAAAAAATTCTCAAATTAAAATCAATATTCTAAAATGCGTAATGCGTTGCGATGCGTCGAGACCGAGAATCAAGAATCAAAAGTTTAGGCGTGTCAATGCGAAGAATAAGCGTCATAATACGTTTCGTATTTTTAAGCTATTAAATATATTTTTATCTAAAAAAATAGATTTTTTAATATATCATAAAAAAAAAAAAAATTAAAAAAGGGATTAGGCGGGATAATGCACGCTAATGCGCGCCTTTTAGATGGAAAACGTATTTTTCGCGCATTTCTCGAATTCGACGCGTTTTTGGTCCGCGTCACGCCTAGGCGAGCCTAGGCGGCGCATTTTGACGTTTTTTAGAACATGGATTAAAATACAGCAGAAGAGCAATGATATTTTATTTTAAACCCAAAAAATATATTGAAGAAGGTATCGAGTAGATTTTCGAATGCACATTGTCATATTCCTTTGAAAAATGTCAAGAAAAACGAACAAATAAATTTATAGAGTAACAAGAATAGCAATAACACGCGAATTAATGTGGAAAAACTCTAGGCTAAATGATAAATATATTCCATATGTTTTCACTTTTTATATACAATTTTAGAGAGTCGATCACTTGAAAAGTGTCTATGTAGTTGCATTTAAAACATGAAATTATTATTATTATTGTTGTTGTTGAAACATATGGAAAGAAATTCTTTTTGTCCCTTTGTTTTTCAATTATTATTATTATTGTTGTTCGTTGTTTCCCAATCTCCAAGACATTGAAGATAGACTTATACTCTTGTATTATGCAAAACGAATATGTTGAATGGTTTGGCTTGGATCTCTCTATGAATTTAAGTTCCTATTTGATGGTGATTAAAATCATATTTTTAACAGATTTTGATAATAGTTGATGAAATATGTAATTGAAAAGTTGTGAATCCATAAATATGTAGTTAAAATTAATTGTTGACTTTAAGTTTATTAAAAATCTAGATTTTAATTTGTGTCAAACAAAGGGGAAAAAATGTAATTAAGAAAATTAAAAAAAAATTAAAAATTAATGGTGGTTGTATGGGCCTGCGGTAAAATTGGGCCTCTCTAAACTTTTGGGAGAAATAGACCTAAATGGGCCACAAGGCATAAAACACATTGGAAAATTTTCATATTTAGCCCTTGTTTGGTGGAGGATTAAAATTATATTTTAGTAAATTTTGATAAAAGTTGATGAAATATGTGGTTGAAAAGTTGTGCAACTCATAAAATATATGGTTAATATTAATTATTGACTTTGATTTAAATTAAAATCTAAATTTTAATTTCCTACC